GGCATTTTCTGGGAGTGTATCTACTGAAGCGGTGCGAGTACTGGCTTGGCAGACTACTCTGCATGCTGCCATTCACAGAAGTACCTGGTCACTTGCTCCACTTGTTCGAGGTCCGGACACCAATACCGCTCGCGAAGATCTGCTTGGTCCTGACGGCTTTAGGGCGGGCCTCGTGCGCCAGCGCAATTAGAGTAGCCATCAACGATGTTGAAATGACCAGTCGTTTTCCTCACACCAGCGGGTGGGTCATCCCTCCCATGTCCTCTCGTACTGAAAAAATTAAAGTAGTCTTGACTCCAAGCTGGTTTTGTCCGGCCACTTGTTAGACACACACTTCATGACAACCTGTGGGCTCTGGTTCTTGCCTTCGGCTGGCTGAACCTCCTGATTTGTAATAAAATATGACACCGATCATACAATTCCTTATTTTTGTCGTGACCCACAGTTAATGACAGCCCTGAGAGAGCAGTTTCCACTTTGTTGTCGCTTCCTCGGTTTTACAAAACTTCAAAGTTACACCAAAGAAGACGGGATGACCCCCTGGAGATTCGCAATGACCTTCGGCCACTTTCTTAAGAATACAAAAAGTCCTCAATGTCTGATGATCCGTGCGCAGTTTGAACCTGCTTCCCCAGAGGAACACGTGCCAGTGGTCGCAAGCCCACACGCAGGTAGGAGCCTCTTTCTTCACCACAGATTACTTCTGCTCTGCTGACGACTGTATTCGTGACGCAAACACCACTGTTCTAAGGCCGTCGTTCACTCCCAGCTATAGTACAGCACCGAGCCATGCATGAACACAGCTGAAATGTCAACTACCGGAATATTTGAATGTAACATTTGTATCGCCTTTCCTGCGGACAGCAACGCCTTGACTTGCTGGAAACTCTGATCCGCGTCTTTACTCCTAACAAAAGGACCGTCTTGACGTAAAAGTTTCCTCAGTGTAAACATACTTATGCATAATTCGGCCTTGCGTAGTACCCCACGAGTCCCAAAAAAGAACGGAGGCCAGTTGCGTCTCGTGTACTGGTGCCTCGACACCATCTTTTTTTTTTCTTCAAATTTTGGATGAAGGGGAGTTTGTTTTCGGCAACTTACGGTATGCCCCAGAAAGTCGAGCGCTTCTACATTGCACTCACATTGCTGGTTGAGTTTGAGTCCAGCAGCAGAAATGCGATGTGGAACACTCTGCGGATTCTCCCGGTGTTCTGCTTCCAATTTCCAAGCACTATCGCGTCGTCGACGCAGCAAAGAAACTTTTCGCAACCATCCAAGAAAGCAGTCATCATTCTTTGAAAGGCCGCAGAAGTCGACGCCAGCCCGAAACACACACTTCAAAACCGGAGAAGTCCGTCGTGTGTGAGAAATGTTGTCAGGTCCGGTCTGTCTGCTGTCAGTTCAACGTAATGATAGGCCGAGGCTAAATATCGCTGTGTGAAATGTGTCAATCCTGCCAGCTATTGCAGCAGTTCTCCTACGTGTAAAAGTAGAAATCCATGGTGGTAGTTTTGTTAGGCTCTCGTAAGTCCACGCACAGTCTAATGGTGCCGTCCTTCTTCTTCACGACCACAATTGGAAAGATTTATTCAGAGGCTGTCGAGACACGTTCGATGGATCCGTCTGGCTCCAGCTAACGAAGTTTCACCAAAACAATGTCGCGCAATGCCCGTGGCAGTCGCCGTATTTTGGCTGCAACGGGCTTAACCATCTCCAGTCGCTTTACCTGGTGAGTAAATCTCTTTACGAGACCCTGTTCATTGGCAAATAAATGTAGGAACTCTTTCATGATTTCAGCACGATGCAGGTTTTCATCGGTTTGTGTGTGCAGACACTACGAGGTTGCTTCTTCGGTCTGCAATTGCAAATTGCACATCGCATCCAGGCTGATGAGGGTTGCCCCCTTCGCCAACACAGGGAACAGCACACAGGTCAAGCGATGATTGTATTGAACTTTCTCAAAAAATCGACCTTTGGGTTTATTCTTGGGACCAGAATAGTCGAGCAGGGTGACGGACGATGGGGACAGAGGCAGTCGCTAGCAGAACAATTGCTGATAAGTGTCCTTGGTGTGGACTGGGACCGATGAGCCCGCGTCTACTAGAAAGTGCAGACTCACTGCCTCGACCTTTAAATTTACTTAAATTACACGTTTTTCACTTGCTCCACCTTGAGAGGTACGACGTCATGTTTCGTGGTCTCACAAACGTCTTTCACGTCGTGTGCCGTCGGCGGGGCCCTTGACCGACAAACAATCTGGATGTGTCCAGTGTCCTTGCATTTCTGGCACTGAGCCCCTCGTGCTTTGCCGTTTATCGCCCTTGCCACGCGACTTGCTGACCCCCAACAGCAACAACGGCGCTTCTTCACTTCCTCGTATTTTTTTCTGAACCTTTCAGTAACACGTTACAGAGCCACATGGCTGAAAACTGCTTCAGGTTGTGTCGTGTTTCTCCATCATGAGCTGCCATCAATACAGCCTTTTCAAGTGTCAGCAGTCTCCTTTCAAATAGCAGACGTTCCCGAAGTCTGTCAGACGGAGGGAGCGTCCGACACGAGTTCGACCCGAATTATCACATCGTGGTGCCGTGGTACTCGCTGTTAATGGTTATTTCACACAAACTCGTAACGTATCCTTCCATCGACTCGCCTGCCCGCTGCACTTTCTGCTTGAACCGCTGTCGTCCCATTATGCCGTTGCCTGTGGCAGCAATAATACGCCTCACGAGCGCCTGCACAGTAGAGAATTCGTCCACCGCCTCCTTACTAGCGGATTCGCCTTTCTCTTTCGGTTTCGTTAGTGGTGCTGGCTCAGACTTCTCAGGCACGACCACGACGTCCTACTGTCGTCGTCCTTCCGCTCTGAGAGAATGAAGCAATATGGCGGTACTTCGCGACGGCCTAAACTCGTCTGCTAGGAAGCCTCCAAGAACACGAAGAACGCCTGCTCATATTTAGACCACGGAATAGACGGCTGACCCGGCGTTTGCAGAAACGAGAGCGGCGGTGTAAGTCCGTCGTTCATGGCAGCAGACCTCAAATTGACCTCGTCGCCAATATTATGTCCTGGCCGCTTTTATATCAATAGGGAATTGAAACAAGCACGGAGGCTGAAGCACTCGTGTGCCATCAAAAATAAAGATGTTTATGACAATGACGATAATATATATATATATATATATATACATACAAATGGCACAGTGCTCATCTTTCGGATACAGGAGGCCGCCATGTTACCGTGCACTTTGCTTATTATTGGTGAGCCGCAAGCGACGATAGTGCGTTATTAATGGCTCTTGGCAGCGGTTGACTGCGTTGTGACTCAACTGCATGTACAATGTTGGCGTAAACGCTCTCCGCAGTGTTTCACTGCCGCCTGAAGCAATTGAACGCATCGCGTACAAATGATTATCCTTGTCATTAATCAATTAATTACTCAATATTTCGTTCATTTAATTATTAAATAGTTATATTTACATCATCCCTTCAGTAAGCGTTTGGTGGTGTTTTGGGCCCGTATAAGCGGAATTAGAAATAAGCGTCCTTTCGCCGCCGACATAGTTTTGTCATTTTTTCTTCAGTATATTAATGTATTTATTACTGCGTATTTCGTAGTCACAATATTTTTGTTAATTTATTCATTCCTTCGTTTGTGTTCTTAATATGTATATTGATATGTTTATCTGTTTGCTTTTAATGCTATTGAACAGCTGATGCCTAGGTAAAAACTCCAAGAGGTAGATTACAAACGGTTCATGAACAACTAAAATGCTACAAAATTCGACTTAAAAACGCCGATAGCCGCTGCACCGAGAGTGTGTATAAAAGTGGCTCATGAGGGTCATAAAACTAGTTTTGAATTTTTTCTTTTTTTTCAAATAATTCCCGAATCCACCTAGGGCCAATCCTCGTGTTAGCCCGACCGCCTAAGGTATCGGACTGCCATAACTGCTTGGTGCAAGCGAAACCTGAGGATAAAACCGCACTCGCAACGCAAACAATGTAGAGGCTTTAAAGCATGGTTGATTAACTGGAAAAAGCGCTGAAGAAAAGAGACAAAGTGAAGGAGTTACCGACAACATAGAGCTCACTCGCAACTGAAAGCTTATTAGGAGCGTAAAGGCTTACATACTTTAATAAAACCACGTCACTTCCAGCCACCTCGCTCTATCTTTAAAAATAACATTTCCTTATATAACAGTGCCACAGACGGCTCACTGATGCGCTTATCGGCGCACCTTGTTTTGTTGAAAAACTTTGCGTAAATTTTTCTAGTTGATTTTTCGCTGTGTCGTCCAAGGGTGGTTCTGTTTGAAAACAAGGCAGTGCACGGTCATCGATCGCGACGCAAGGCCAGATGCCCAGACGGCGTCTGTTTGATAGCTGCTGCGTGTTTTCTAAGGCGGCTATTTACGCAGCGGACTGTTTGCCCTGCGTGGGTGCGCCCGCAGGATAGTGGAATGTCGTAGATGAGAGAGGTTGTACATAGTGAAATGTCGTTTTCGACATTCCACTATCATGCGGGTGCACCTACGTAGAGCAAACAGGCTGCTGCGTAAATGACCGTGCTAGAGAAAACACACAGCTATCACACAGACGCCGTCTGGGCATATGGTCCTACATTGCGACCGCTTCGCGTGCACCCGCTTGTTTTCAACAGAACCATCCTGGGATGACACAACGGAAAGTCAACTAGGGAAATTCACAAAGCGTTTGTCATCAAAACAACAGGCGCCGATAAGTGCATCAGTGAGCGGTCTGTGGCACTGTTAGATAAAGAAATGTTATTTATTATGAGAGAGCGGGGCGGCTGGAAGTGACGTGGTTTTATTAAAGTATTTAAGCCAGTGTGCTTCTAATAAACTCTCAGTTGCGAGTGTGCTCCGTGTTGTCGTTACCTTCTTCACGTAGTCCCTGTCCTTCGGCTCTAACCAGTCACAAACCAACTTGCCCAATTGAATATTTTATGGTTGATCAGACGTTTCTGGGCTTACTAAAAAATGGACGGTAAAACGCTGGTGTCGATGTGTTAAAGGATAGTTGAAATGTAGTCTTCTAGCTCTGCTGGTGTGCGTGTGGCATGACACCCATAGGCTATTGGCTATGCACTTATTTAATTCTCTAACGTCATGAGACTGCGGTGACACTGGTGTCGATAACGCTCATGCTCAGACGTTTTTCATCTCACGCGTATCAGGCCTCTGCGTGCGCTAGCCGTGCCCAAACCCGGTGTAAGCAAACGCGGACTTGTATACAACAAGGTGTTTGTAAAAAAAAGAAAAGGATGATCACATAGTTTTTTTTTTTTTTTCTTTTATAGGCAAAGGTGACGAGATTGGAAACAATGGGGATCTTTTCGATGATCGCCTGGATAGGCCAGGTAAGGACCGACAATATGCATCGAAAGCATGGGAAGAAGGGAGTAGGCTTTTATAGGCACTCTCAGCTTCAGAATGACGTCAGGAGTCCCAAGTACGTTATTTCCTTCCCGTAGCCAATGAGACGGCTGCATCGGCTGGTAAGAATGCCTACAAAAAAATCAGGACGCAAGAAGCGATGACGTGATAAGACAGACCCTGCACATTCAAATATGTCAGTGCACTATGGAGTTCCATAAACGCCTTATTACCAATTCTATCTGTTCATCTACAAATCTACCGTATTTACTCGAGGAAATAACGCTCTGTTTAGCATTTAAGCACGCACGTAGTCCATCACCGCCTCCTGCGTAATATACGTAGCCAAACAGTAATTTTCGATAGTGTGACATGCGGAGGTAGCATTTTGGCGCAAAAAAGTCGTTATCTTTGGTCCTGGATCTGGGCAGTGGGCTCCCTCAGTCCTTTGCGATGATTGGCTTTATTCCTCTACGGCGGGGAATCGGCCTTGCCGGCTTTGTTCGTAAACAGTGTGTTGATTACTCGGGTAAATACGGCATTAGGCTTCCCAGGGATAAGCATAAAACATTCAGCACAATTTTTTTTTTAAGTTATAGTTAAGATATTTTTGGCATTGCCCTTTAGCGGCTCTCACTGACCTGTCTAATTTGCATTAAAAAATAAATTATTCGCTTACGTGCCTTGATTGTACAGCGCCCTCTGCGGAGCCGAAATAATTGCCGGGAACATCCTGTATAGAACTGACTGTAGCAGACAACGCAAGCGACCTTGAACGTGATTTTGGTATTAGAACCACCGGAGCAAACCCACTTTAAGAAGTATAAAATATTGGTTTCTCACTGCATTCATGAAAGGAGAGAAATGTAAAAAAAGAGAGCCTAAATAATAGCGCAGAGTGCCGAAAATTATAAAGGAAAGAAAACGTATTTGAAATCGTTGAGTGGCGTTTTGAAACGTATAAATTCTCAAAGCAACAGACCTCAAGAAGGTCTGTCTCAGACCGAAACGTTGAATCCATAAATTGTATGGTTCAAAACGCCACACAACAATTTAAGCACGTTTTGTTTCCTTATTATATATATATATATATATATATATATATATATATATATATATATATATATATATGCCGAATAAAGGGTGCGAAACGTTTGCGACATTTGTTTCCGATTGACACGAAAAAGCCCCAACTCCATGTTGGTCTATAAAAAAATTATGATTTCTGGTTATAACATTTAATGTAAAGCAAGCGTGCTCTTTGGTATTTCTAAAAGAAATAACAACCAAGCAAAAACACCACCCAGCCACAGCTTTCGTACTAAATCACACTGCCTGAGCTTGCTAAACGTATGTTCCGTATTTCTAGAAGTGGGTTACATCCGTTTGGCCTTCGCTGTAGCGAGGAACCTTAAAGAAATTTTCCCTTTTGACTATATTCTTATAAATGAATTACTTTGAAGGTGTGCCAGGGATACTGCATAGACGACGTCACCAAGTGTGTTGATGGCCAATCAAAAAGGCGGGAATAAAGCAAACGGGTTGTTTCACCTGACAAAAAAGAAAAGTGTGGCTAGACGCAGTTGATAGTAAAATAAAGTTTTATTAAATATGACATTTAAGTAAAGGAAAGCGTAAAATAAACTTTCTTTATGGTTGTCTTCGCATTTTGGTTTTACTTTGGCGTGTTACAGACTGGTCTCATTGACAGTTAAATCCCCTTCTGTTATTCGAGCACCTCCAGTTTGCCAATTACCTATCCTGAGAAGCGCGACAAAAGGCTCTTTTTTTATTACGTTCATTTATTGTGGCCGGCTGACAACCATCAGGTGCCAACAGCAGCTTTTCTAACAAGAGGTATCTGACGCATTCGAACTTAAGCCGCGAAAGGCCTGTTGAGACCGGACCCTTCGCGGCCGGCGCAGCTGGCAGCGGCGATCCAAGCCAGTATCTCCACGTGGTCATTTTGGTTTCCTTCGCAGCGGTGCGCTCGCCTTGTTTTTCAGCAAGCTCAGCGAGAGAAAGACCCGGTCAATGACGATCGAATGGCCGCGTATCGTTAGAATCGTCCACTTGGGGGGAGCGAACCGCGCTTGTCCTCGGGTATCTGGTGCCGTGGGCCTCTGACATGGGTCTTCGCTGAAGCATCGATTATGGCCTCTACGACATAAATTGTCCCGCGTTCCCATAGCTCCCGCGCCGGACCCAGTAAAAGCAGCCGTTTATTTTGGATGCGTTCGACTGAATTTGAATTACGGGCACTAAGCGTGTATGTCATACGATTTTCGCATAAACTTCAGTAGTCGTTTTTTAGCTGCCCATCACGAGACTTCGAATCGGACAAGCAAAAAATGTTTATGTTGCTCCGTACGAAGCTCTCGTATTTCTTTATTCTTTTGGGTAGTTTATGCCAGCTCAGCTGTATTATTATTTCAGTGTGAGTTTCAGTTCGCCACCGGGTTTATTTTTGTTTTCAGCGATTATGTTCAAAGTGCCGTGTCCGCGCTAGAATTAATCGAGCTCAGGCGTCTACCGCTCAAATCATGCATAATACATTTTTTCTTAATTTTTCTTTTTACGTTCTTTATTTTTATTTTTAACGGTAATACTTTTTTATGAACGCGCGAATTGCGAGACGTTATTTGTCAGTTAAACTATCACTATAATATTAAGCGTCTAATTTAAAAAAAAAAAACGCTTTCAGTGTCCACGGAAGTTTTCATCGGGAATGGGCGGAACAAAATCGGTTAAAAACATCCGGTCGAATATTTTGCATCTCTTTTTCTGTGCTATTTAGAAAAGGCAGATGCAAAAACAACAACAACAACAACAACAATCATCGCAAAAGCACTACAACAACAACATGGACAAAAAAAAACAATAATCATCATAATAGCACAACAACAACATTAAAAAAACAAGAACAAAAACAGTAAAAAGATCAACGACAGCAGCAAAAACAACAGCATCAATGTTTGACGTTCACGATTGATTTACGATGGAATTCTCACGTCGAAAATGTATCCACGCAAGCGAAACGGGCAGTCTGGCATCTTAGAAGAAATCTCGCAAGACTTTCGCCAGAAATAAAAAAGAAAAACACCTGGCTTACAATACTTTGGCGAGACCTGTTCTCGAATATGAAAAAAATAGTATAGGATTCATATACAGTAACAAATTCGTCCAAGCTCGATGAAGTTCAACGGCCTGCATCCAGGTTAAATTTTAACAAGTACCATTGTTCCCATCCATGGCGTCACTAGGGTCAGGGGAACCGGGGCGGTGGCCCGCCACGGAACCCCCCCCCCCCCCCCCCCGCATGTTGACGCCACAGGTTCCCAGTCACCAACCAATGAACTTTGTTCACTCGCCGAACTCCATGCTCTTGAGTTAAGAGCAAAGTGTGCGCCAAAAATATCCTTTCCTAATCCAGCATGGTTTAGTTAAAATCAACAAGAATAATTACATGGATGTGGGATTTGGTGAATGGCGACACTGTCACAACATGTACATTAGTGGAACCAGCCGTTAAAATGATTTTTTTACAATTAGTTTCTTCCTGCGAGTCATTAAGCAATGGAAGAAATTTCCTAATGAAACCGTAATTTTAGCAAATTTTTGTGACTTTGTAAAAATTAAAAAAAAACATGGGTTTCGAGAATACGCTATGAATTTATGATTTATTAACTATTTGTGTGCATTAATTTTTTTATTGTGTTTGCATAAATTTGTTTCTGTTTATAGCCTATTACCACTCCTACAATAGCCCTGCAATGGCTGATAGCATCAATGAATACACAAATAGAATAAACGACAACAAAAAAAACAGTAATCACAACAACCACTATAGTCTCAACAACAACAGTAATCACAACGACGACAACTACAACAATAATAACAACAAAAACAAAAATAATACCAACAAAAATAACTTACAGTTACAATAACAAAACAATAACAACAATCAAGAGGCGTACACACACATTCTTAGACCTTTATATGCTGTAGAAAACCTGGGGCGTCTCCTTCGTCTCAAAGAAGATGGCAGATCCAATCTCTTTATTCTACGGAGGGTGCTCGGCAAATGATAGGCCTAAAATATGAAATTATACAAAAAAATGAAGTTTGTTCAGAGGCAGCGAGAGACATTTCCTCATGCCCAATGTCGCATCGCAGACGGTTTTTCACCCCTTTCTTTGAACGTGACCTATACTCGCAGCACACATGGTCGTTTAGAAAATCTAATTTTAAATCCACAAATTGCATGATTACAAAATACACTTCTGTCATTTCCGCAGCAATGTGAATTTCAGAAATGCGAGTTCGCACGGCCTTACATTCACTCAAGACATAAGGACGTCAGGGAAACTGCAATTTCTGAACTTAAGATTAAATTTTCAAAAAGAGCACGTGTGCTGGAAATTAGGGCACCTTCAAAGAAAGGGGTGTTACATTTTAATTGAGCCCAACCTAAGTTAAGTTCAAGGGATGCGTTCATTCCTCCGGAATGAATGCATCCCTTAAAAAATCGTGCCACCACACCATAAACAGTAGCTTTTCCAACCACGTGGGACGCCTTAGATCCTCGGGCTACCCTGATAGTTTTTTTTTTTTTTCAGGAGGTGGTCCAAAAGACATGATTAAATATTAAGAGCGAAAGAATGATAAGAAAACAACTAGGTCCATGAAAAATGTGAGATCCGTCGTCATACCTTATATTAACAAGGTTTCACATTACCTAAAAAAGTTAGTGTCGCATTTTTTTTTTCTGCGGTGGTAGTGTTTTTGAATTTAGAAAAGCTGTCTGGTCTCTGCCAAGAAATCAAAAAAAAAAAAGGTGAAGGTGGTGTGTGCAGAAAAACAACACTCAAAGTAGTTTGCAGATTGTGCCTCCTCGGTCGTGCATGAAATTCTCATGACTCACAGGAAGGCGTACGTGGACGAAACGGGCAGGCGCTTCAATGACGGGGCACGAGAGCACGTCCTGTCAGTAAAATATTAATCTCGGGCAGTTTGGCTATTCATTGTGATAGATGCTCTTGTGCCACTGAGCTGGAAAAAAAAAGTTCTGGTGGATTTAAGAAACAAGATCTCGAGAGAATTGCGTGATTCATTCAACATCAAAATGCATAGGATGGCGGATGCACAAGTGCCACAACAGTTCACTTAAGGTAAACTTAATTTGAACTCCTGCTCGAGAAGCTCGATTGGGCCAATAAATAGTTTTTGTTGCTTCAATAAACAGTCACTTGAATGTAGCGCCCGTGCTGCGTCCCATACTTTCTCTCCTTCTTTTGTGGCACTTTTGTGAAAAGGAACGATGTACCAACTGGCCCATCTCTCACTATTGGACACGAGTGCCGCGTGAGTTTAATGGCCTCGTCTCCATTTAATGCGTGGAAGGACGCTCCGCGTCTGGCTCGCGCCCAGTTGCTGCGTTTGCGCCTCCAGAGTGCGATAAAGTCATGTGGAGGGAAGCTGATTACGAGCTTTGATTCCAGGTGACCTCTATGCTTCGTAGTCTATTCCAAAAACAATCTTTGTCTGCCTAGATGCGCAACGCCTCCTCGAATTCTGAGAATTAGTAGCCGCTCTCTTTTTTTTTCTTGCCCAGTCACAGGGCTGCGTTTGCAGCCCTGTGACTGGACATTCCTTGCCTGGGTGATAAGCGCCGGAAAGGTGTATAAACCTTCATCGTTTACTCTCGTCGGCATCCACCCGCTAGGCATATTCGGCATGGGCAACAAAAAAAAATAATAAAACATTTCATGCTGTAAATAGTGAAAAAAGTAAAGGGGGAAAAACGAAGATGGTTGACAATTACGCTTATATCATATATGTATTCTGTTGGCGTGGCGACGGCAAAAATATGTTTTCGCGCATACCAGATGTGACGGCATTAACGAGGGCGGCGCCCTTGTGGAACAGGTGTTTAAAGCGTTTCAGCGACCTCCGGAAAATCACGCAGGCTCCACCCCTGGGCCCGATCCGGCGAACGGGTCTTACGACGCCCTGTCCCGAGACCACAGCGACGACGCCAATGAGAACGACGACGATGTCGGCGAGATCCGGTCAGCGACCAGGGTGTCGGTACCGCCTCGTCCGAGCTCCAGCCTGGGCAGTCCCGTGCACCTGGAGCACACGGAGCCCGGCTCGCAGGCCGCCAGCACTGGAACTTCGACCAACTGGTCTTCGCCCATGTCCACGGAGACGTCCTCGACGTCCAGCCGGAAAACCGTCGGACAGCCGGCGGCCAACTCCAGGCTCGAGCGGAGGCCCGAGATCAGCTGGGTGTATCCTTTCGTCGGGATCGTCTATGCGGAGTAAAACTGAGGGAGAGGAGAAAATGAGACGGCACGGAACGTTAGGGTGCAGATATTTGGTTTGAAAAAGTGTCGATAAAAGCAAACGATAGCTTCCTTCGCCTTTATTCACTCATAAAACGACGAACGAGACACTGAGCGACGAGCAGACGACGCCATTGTTCGCTCTAAATACTGGGAGACGGTGGGTAAAGACCTAGCTAGCAAGCCTTTGCGTCTCCCCACTGAATTTCCAACCAGAGCTTTTCTTGTTTCTCTCAATATTTGTGACGTGCGCGCCAAAAAGGGGCGCTGTGGTCGGCTGTCGATGACTGGCAAAACTTTCACTATGGCTTCTTAAAAGTGAATAATGCTTTCATCGACGGATATAAGAGGAATTTAAGAGTGTCAATGTTGACGGTGATGGTTTGAGAACGGGATGACCGCAAGCGTCCACTGATTTTTACACACACAATTAAATTTTCCGTTCGCAACTGACGATAAGTAGCCGGGGTCACAAGTCGTTGCTTCATGACGTGGCAAATCCCGGAAGAGACGTAACGTAGAAAAAACATAAGAGCGCGCTACCGGAACATGTCGGTGTTAATACCGACCGATCGATTACGTTTGGTACCACAAGTAGCGTAATATTACGCGGAATTCTCGAAAATCTGAGATTTTCGGCCATCATTTCTGGGGCCTATTTCGGACTGGAAAGTCCGAGTACTCTGTCGAATGTGACGCAGCGCTAGTGTCCAATTATTCGACGGCATCGCCTGCTTAAGGGTGTACGGAAACAAAATGGCGTGACCGCGAGCTCTCTGCCCCTCGCTTCAAAGTCGACCAGCCAGAAGTGCAATACGAATCGCGTCCGTGCCGTTAAGAGCTCCTACAAGGCCAGGATTACTCTAGGTGCGAGCTTTGCTGCTTGGTGGCGTCAACGCGTGACAATCTCGCCCAGTAGGCATATCCGAGGACTGTACGCCCTAGGGCCTATACGTAGGTGGCCCGTGTCGTTATTCGCGGCAATGCCAATATTTTATGTGCCTCGAGCGTTCCATTCCCCGTGTTAGTTTCACGCCGCAGAAGTAGCAGCTTAATCGGAACCAGTAACTAGAAATAACCGTTAGTACCAACAAAGGCGACACCTGCAAGTTATGTATATAAATTATTCACTGGGCGTCTTATTTTAGCGCGTTATTCTCAGCGCATTCAAAGGAAGGGGGGGGGGGGGGAGGTTGACCTGGCAGAGGTCCCCGCATCCTCCGATCAAACTTCTAACCAACGTCTGCAAGTAACGGCGATCTTGATGGCGTGAAATGCATATGGCGGAATCACTGTGGGAGCTTTAGCGCACACGAAGTAGTAAACGGGTGTGCGTTCTCATACAAGTCCCATTAAGGACTATGTAACATCACTAGCGAGCCGTACTGCCGCGAACTGGCACTGCTTCTTAGAAACTCATGACGCGGAGCAATTCCAACGAAGCTTCAAAGACCAACACCACACGCAATTTTGAAATGTGTCAAACCGTTTTAAAATTAGTTTGTTTATTTTTGTGTCGGAAACCCGGAAACACTAGTCTACACTAATGTTTCTGGGCTGCCGGCTCAATATACACCCCATCTAAACAAATAAACATTTGCAAACAGTTCGCTTCGATTCCCCTTTAAAGTTTCCCTTGCATTGCGGGCACGAGACGTGATAACAAGTAGCCACATGTGGCGCATCACTTTTACTTCGTTCAGTCTATGAGGAGGTTCACAGGACTTACGGCATCATCGTCCCTTGCTTTTACACTTTGCTCAGTTCATAAAGTTTTCAAATGCAGCTTCTTATTATGATTTTATAAAGTTGCGGCGCATAATATGGGAAAACAGGCACCACCTGACGAAGTCAAAGTGCAGGATTGAAATGCCGGCTTGAATACAAGGAAAGTGGAAAGAAATGCAGCTGAGAAGTACGTTCAATATTATTAACGTATCCGGTGAACGTTACGTTTAGCTGTAGCTCCTAGCATACCTAGCTGGCTTCTGGAAAGACCAAATATGCTGAATATGTCTAGCATATATTTATATTTCAACCAAGCGAAAATGCAGAAAGATTTGCAAGTACATTTTTTCTTAAGAACTAAGAACATTTTTTCTTGTTTTCACCTTGTTGTAAGGACATATTTCTTGCCCACTAGATTGCCAATTCGCACATAGTTAATAAAAGCAAATTTGATACGGATGTTTGGGTGGAAGAAAATTAGCCTGCACCAAGGGATGCCTGATGTCCCCACCGCAGATAAGCCTTTTAGTCAACGCAGTACTTCAGCTAACCTGCGTTTTTAAACGTGGGCAGCGCAGTCGTCTGATAGCACACCTAAAAGCCAGACAACAGAACATAATCTAGAGTTGAAAGCTTAAAACAATATTGTGAAGTTCGTGTCTACACTATTGGCTGAGCCACTTGATTAGTCGAAAGTATGCGCAGTGACTACACAACGTGAACTTGTAAAACAAGTGTTCACAGTCAACGGGCTTGGCAGACAGCGGAAATTGCCGAGACCTTTGCGTGCCTACTGAGCGCCGACATAACCGGTTGTCTGCGCCGCCGTAGATGACTCGCGGATCTTTCTATAGAGGTCAAGTCCTCTTTCAATGGGTTTGGAGCAGACCCGTGTGAGCATTACCGCCGTTTATTGGCGACGAGAACCCCATTTTCCAAGGGGACCTGGCCTGGGACACCCGATGCACGCGACCCACTTCGATACATTGTTGGCAGAGAGTGAGCTGATTGTCTCTGGCACGCTCGCCGGCTTTCGCAGTTCAGAAGCCTTGAGTTCGTCTGCGGCTAATTGCGGCGCGACACGCTTCGTCACGTGCAATACCCGCTATTTGTTTTGTCTGCTAGTGGCACGCTCTAGACTCAACCGCGGTGGATCCTTCTCATTGTTACCGCACGGCGAACGACGCGACCTCAGAAAAGATTGGAATTGCTGCCAGCTTATATAAACAGTATGGGCAATGACATCTTAATAAACACGCGGGCGGGTCCCCAGCTTGTTTATATCGGAACGCAGTCAATGAGGCTGCTGCTTGAACCACTACAAATCCCAAAGATTGAATCACGAACAAGAAGCCCGAACATAAAAAGGCATGCCCTGCATTTCTTAGGCTGTCAATGATTATTCGCGACTCCAGCGACCTGTACGGGCCATATTTGTCAATACGTGCCTTCTTGACAAATATGGTGGTCGGAAAAAGGCTGTGACGTACCATGCGCTAGCTCAACGCATGATGCTCAAGTTTAAGCGGGCAAGCACTGACTTCAAAGTAATTTTTGCCCCAATTTGTATCCACTACGTACAAAACCTGCGGCGGTGTGCTGGTGCAAGGGAACTTGCAGAGTGAGCATTCTTCGGCGTAGCTACGGTCCTTTAGTCCCGATAATGAACGTTGATAAACGCACAATGTCTGCTTCACAGGATTGCCTAGATTGCGTTCAGAGCTAGTTTAGAAACACGCTGACACCGCGGTTATGACAGAATCATTAGGACAACTGTTCGACCTAGTCACCATGAGGAGCGATGCAAGGCGCATTTAATTTATTTGGCCATTATGAGTCACGATTTCTTCTTCTGTATTGTCGTTGTCGCCGTTTTTGTTGCTGTGGGCAGAACCAACGAAACTGCCCTTGATATACTACGGTTACCATCGCGTCAAACGCCGATAACAAGTAATTGTGGAAACCACGAGAAGCAAGCAGAAGTTCAGAAAGTAACTGTCCGGACAGTTCAGTTTTTTCCTACTAGGTGTCGTTCGTTTTGTTGAAGACTGAAATAAGGCTGTGCGTCGATTAAGATGGCTTACCCGATAAATTAATGACGTTTAACTGGCTAGTTTGTTCAATGTGAATGCTTCTCGAATTGTTAGAGAATGTTTAAAATATAAATGGGTATTGCATACTATTGGAAGACGATTTCTGACATTTCTTTGGCTTTAGAGGTTCATGAATGGCATGTTTTAAAGAAGCGGTTCCATTTCATTCATAAGTTTTTTTAGCATACATTTACATGCTATGTCTGATGGCAGGTATAGACAGACGGAAGATGGATACCAATGTATACACATTTTTACTGAGGTCAAGCGGCCAGCTAGTACTATCTAATCAAATAGTTTTTTTTTTGTTTGATTCACTCAAGTAAAAACACTGAATCGGTGTTAAAGGAGGAATTTTAGAATACGTTGTGTCTCGTAGACTTCCCTGGCCCAGCAAATCAGCAGTTTTTTTTTGTTTTGTAAGCTGGAACATATTTTGTACGAACTTTTATTTATACAAGTACAAATATTAATATTAATTTGTACAGCATGAAATATCTCTAATTTAATACAATCTTGGGTTTATTCAAAAGCGGCGAATAGACAAAGAAAAGCAACGCGACGCTCTAATCACTTATCCCCTTATCGTAGGCACTAGCAACGTGGGAAGCACAACACAGCGCCCATAAAGACTATACTTTGTCTAACCCTACAATGGACTAAAGGCCAAAGGCACGGGCCACCAGGTCCAATCACGTTCCACGCTATACTATGATACGCTTAACACTGATTAGGGGTGGACGAATAATGCTCGAATCCAAAAGCGCCGCATCATTTTTATAGAGCTTCGACGCTACAAAGAGCCTATATGTTGTGGCTTTATTTGCGATGTAAAATTGTTGAGTCACTCAGTGCTCTTCGATTCGAACCACTGTCCACCCATCCCCTCATCAGCGATTCGAGACGGGGGCACCGATACGGCCATAGAAGCGAAATACCGCACAATTTCTAAGTGAATCCTGATTGGATCGGGCGATCCGTAGATTTGGCCTTTAGTCCATCGTAGTTTGAGACGAAGTATAATAGTCTCTATCAGGAAGCTAATGATCGACACGTGATTTTCCTAGGTGATTCATATCTTGTATATCTAATTCGTGAAGAAGTTTGCTGTTGTGTACTTGGACGAGATGGCGTTGCGGGCACTAAATGCATGGTAAGAAGTGAAATTATTCATGTTGAGTTTGAAAGCAAGACGATGTTGATGCCCATGACATCTCTAGTAAAAAATTCAACTTTTGTGGATTCATTGGTTAAGAAATCGGCGATTCGGCACTGAATTTTACCCCTGTGGGCTATTTGAATAAATTTGCATCATTAATCAAAACAAAATGTGGAAAAAAAGTTTAACAAGGCAATAATTGGCTTTAGAAAAGGTACTGTATATGCGCCAGTCGCTTTTTATTGTACGACCTATTGAGCCGTATGTATTGGTACAAATAAAGGCGGATATTCCTGCCCTCTTCACTGATGACCAAGCAGTGGAGAGTTATTTTCGTCAATTGTGTTTACACTTTATAACCTCTATTATCCAAAATTGCTTCGTACGATTGCCGCTGAATTCCGTCCGTATCGTAGTTGTGAAAGGTACACTATATTTCTGGTTGAATCAATCTTTGAAATAATGATTTTATAATTTTCGAACATAAAGTTGTCGTAACACGAAACATTAGACTTCATAAAAATATTGAATATTTTGCACATAAACATTTTTTTTAAAATTCTTTTCCGCCTTCCGTGATGAGAGTGCATTTATTCAGTTAGCCACTGTCTTCATTTTTGACAGATGTTTGTCAACGTGGACGGAGTTAAGTCCAAATACCTTCATAATTTGAAAGCCGGGACACCACTAAATACCAGTCTTTGAATAAGGTGATTTCAAAGGGACTCCAAACAAACGATGCTCAGTTTCTAGTCTTGCAGCGATTGCACACTAAAATACTCAAGGGTGGGATTATACTTTCCTTCAGCGGAAGTCAGGGCCGTACTAAAAGAAACAAAAAACTTGAAGACATGCAAGAGCATTTACCACACTCGACTGGTCTAACAGGTGATAGGACATTCACAGAAAGACGACACACGCCGAGTAGTTGCGTTTTGACACTGCTTGATTGGCCCCATTGGCTTGTAGCGTCAGCCACGCTTCGACTTGCGATGAAAGAATGTGCAGAGCGCCTTCGTAGGCGTTTCGTTTATTGGTTCACCGTAAAGTCAGTTTTTTACAGTGTCCGTGAGCTTGAATACACTCTAAAAAAATTCGGCCCCTATTTCAATCAACGCACGTCAGTGTCGTCGCAGGCGGTGCGGTGCATAAGTCTTACATAAAACCAGAGAATCTATATATACTAAAATGTCCAGTAAATCTGAGAGTTTGATTAAACTTATGAATCTATAGCTATCCTTAGAATTGAAGGCAACTTTGGACTTCGGGAAATACAACACCCCGGGTCACATCAAGTTTTGAGCATTTTGAGGACCTTGGTGGTCGATGTTGTGTCCATAGCCTTGACCACCGTCCAACAGACACGGCTACCGGGGTCAGGGACCCTTCAAGAACCTGCACGTTGTCCGGACGGGCGAGATCCTCTACAACGTTGCAGCACTGGCGGTCCTTTTCAACCGGTCCAAGCACCAACAGAGGTTCTATCTGGGGCACACACAAGACATTGACTGGTAGGCTTTTATAGACTACACCGTGTGGCATTTGCACTACGTGACCTTGCTCATCACGTTTTTATGTGATAGTTAATGTACTAAGATGACTTTTATTGCAAAAACCAGAGTTATTTGATTACCGTTATCTTTGCACATTTGGTTCGATACATTCTATCACAATGTACGTTGTTGCCATGCGTGTGCTTACTTTTTTACATGTTTTCATTGCCTGAAGGTCGGACTGCACTTACTAGAATTATCACCTCCTTATTAAGAATAATCTTGCTCATGATGTCATTGCTCCCATGCTTTGTTGCTGCCTGTAACCAGAAAATGTTAGTAATACACTACACGCACCCCATCATCACTAAAATGGATACTTCGCAAATGAATGTGAAGAATAAAAGTCTGGTACTAATCAGTGTACTATTTTGTAGACACATCTGGCTATAAAACCGGCAAGCGCTTGGGCGTCATCTGCTCCGCGCTAGCAGAAGACCAACTGGCGGTGTGGTCGCCAACCTGGAAGAGAAAATCCCCCGCTCAGCTCATGCGCGATGTTATACCAGACACGCGCATGCACGGCGCTGGAAACACGGAACCGCCTCCGGTAGCGTTATAGCCAGCTGCCCCCATGACGGTTTATGCAATGGACACCATCGTGTAATCGTGACACGTAGGAGGTCAATACTTTGTTGTGGGTTATTGCACTCTGTAACCGTTCTGGATTGTCTCGTCCTCTTCAAATTTTACAAACCAGGACATCTCCCTCTGTTGTGAAAGAGAGTGAAAATATATCAACCCTTTAAAAAAAATCAATATATATATATATATATATATATATATATATATATATATATATATATTCTGTTGCTTAAAAGATGTCTTATGGCTCAACTACATCTTGCACATATATAAGCTATTGTCAAGAAACTTTCTGGAGAATGTTTAGCTCTTCGGCCGGCTTTCACCTGAGGCTCGTCGAAAAAAAATCAGCGAAAACAATTGCGAAGTAATTTTGAGGACATAGACGAGATCCGATGGAACACCTTCTAGTATAGCAGGGTCGTAGTGCTTTATTTGGGATGATTTTGTACACGTGTGGTGCTGCAGCGGTCGGCTAAAGTTTTTGTACAATTAGTAAGGACACATTCCAGCCGAACGCTTACACAGCACTCGTGTTTAACCTGTGACAGGCCTCCACTGAATGGCGTAGAAACTCCAGAACCACGGTCTTGCTGCCTAGTGTTAAACCTAAACTTGCAACGGTCAATTCATTGTAAGAAGGTTTTCCGTGGTGCTTTACCGCTAGTGGTACTTAGGATTTCGAAACATTCTCTTCTCAAAAATAACGATTAATATATTACGTGATCGTGCTCCGCAAAAAAGTTTGCCACAAAAGTTAAAAAAAGAAAAACATTTTTTTTTGCAGCATTGCTTACAACTACACTGAAGATGTTGCCGCGTCTGGACAAGGCCCAGGCTACAATCGTACCTCTCACGTGAGTTACATTAATTTTACTTGTTATTTGAAGCTCAATTCCTACTGCCTCATATCCTGATGTTACTAAGAGCTACCACCAAATTTGTTTTATTATAACTGCCGGGCAATAAATTTTGGGTCGACAGGCAGCGCCATCTTGTACAGAATACTTGCAACCTTGATTTGGTCCACGGCTTCCGTAATTTAACCTTTTAACCTGATCTAGAGTTTGTTAGTGCAAGATATCATAAGCTCAAATGATAATGCCACCAGGCGATTAATATACGCGTTTTCGCGCCTCCATCATTGCACCTGTTGCGCGAGTGTTAGATTTAGCACACCACTCCTCTAACACGCTCTCAATCTTTCTAAGATTTACTCATGTAGTGGTTTTAGGTGTCACTCAACTAGTTTCTGATTAAAACCATTTGTTTATTTTAACAAACTAAAACGTTATTCAACAGATTCAAACTTTAGTTAATTGTACGACCCGTCGTGACAAACGTTGGGATAGCGAGCACGCAAGTGGACGTTTCAACTGAGTAGTTTGATTACATCAAACATCCGTAATCAGCTTGCTGAAATTGTGCATCGAAATTTACATCGAGAAACTTGCCAACAATTTAGTGCTTTGTCGGATACAGTAAGATTTGTGAAGCGTTCTTATAATTTCATGTAAGTGTATGCAATGTTAACATTTCTGTTCCTTCACTCCTCACTTTATAACTTAACGTTCTGTGCGTCATTACCAGTGCCGTGTATTTTCATTAGCACTAAAAAATGAGAAATAAGTTAAATTTAATTCACCTTTGTTTCATAACGCAGTTTTGCATAGTTTATTGCAGCTTTCATATTCTTCGCAGACGCCATTCGAAGATACCCCACTAGTGTTTCTCTGGAAGGAAATGGATACTCCAGCTACGACTAATGGCTCTAGGGTTTATCTTCACTTAGCTGCTGGATAAACAATGGCATTCTGCTTTGATTATTTTGTGAAAACGAGTGGAGGTATGGCGAAACTCTGCCAATTACGATCCTCAAGGTAGAATTTTAACGCGATTGCGTCAAGGAACTCTTGTCGCAGAAAAGCCGGCATCGGTGGTGTGACGAGAAAATGGCGAACGTGAAAATTTTGATTGGGCGATAGAGTCATGACGTCACAGCCACACGAGCTTCCGCGGGAATTTCAAACAACCCGCAGCGTTCACGCGAAACGTGTGTGAAATAGAAGTGATTAAGAGAAATGACATGCGATTCAAATGAAAGGTCGCCTCATGTCTCAATTGATATTACTTTAAAAAATAATTAATTTGCCCTAAAGAAATATCTAAAAATTTTTAGGCGAGATACGAAACCCACGACCCTTCGGTTGCGATCCAGACACGCTGCTGTCTAGGCCACCGTGTCTTTTTTTTTCTTTTTTTTTAAATATTTTTCTTGCCTGTTTAGACATGGGCCACAAAAAACGGACGCGCACAGTTTAAAAAATGTGAAAAACACGTTGGCCACTTTGTGGATAACAGGATTGCATTAAAATATTTCAAACATACTAATTCATTCAGAATTGGCAACCAATTAAGAGGTTCAGACTTTGCACGGTCAACTTCCCGGATATATGCCACACTTTCAATAAAAGTTTCTCTTACGGCACGCGCACTAACAACCGCATGAGGTACACTCCTTCTTTTCTTCTATAGACTGTGGAGGCCGAGTAGCTAAAAAATATCATAAGGGACACCATTCTCGTTCTCCACAAGTAAGAAACGGATGCCTTGTGCAGTTAGTGGAAGGTCTTTCTTCATCGTACGCTGAAGAATGTCCCAGTGAAATACGGCATCCTAACATTCTATGAAGACGTGTTCAATCGACTCAGGTTTTTTGCATAGGATGAAATTTATGGACCACGGCTCAAAAATGCCTTTGTTCTTTAGCCAAAGTTTAACTGGAAAGACGCCACAATGCAATTTAAAGAAAAAAAATACTTCACCTATGGCTTGGCCGAAACTTAACTCTTTTTAGCACATTCCGCTCCTCGCCCTTGCATACAATCACATGTAGAGGGGCATTGGTAACAAAATGTCAACTAAATATTTATACAGTCCTTTCCGAGTGACTGAACTGAGGTGCTCTAAAAATGTACTTTTAGCATCAGGATTTAGAGCGAAACTTCACGCATATAGCCTTGGACACTGAAGCACATTAAGTTTCTGCACGAAACAACAAATTCCGGAAACGCATTTCGCAAAGGACACGTCATTAAATATATGAAAAAGAAAAATCGCACAATACAAAGCGTCCGGATGGACATAAAACAACGGCCGTTTTGGCAACGCCTACCGACTGGCGAATGAACAACCAAGAACTCCCGGAAGTCTCTACCGAGTGCGGGGCGCATACATTAAGAAAGGCTCGAAAACGTTGCACCATGCGGTCCGTCTGTTCCTAGCTGTCAACTTTCGTTTCTTGAACGGGAATAATATCAAGATAATTTTCAGCAAAACTTCTACTGAACTGATCTTGCCGAAGCCTCGCTGCCAGCCCACGGACGTTAGTTGTGGCAACACGTAGGGACACATATACTCTTAGTCCCATTCCAGGAAGAGCGAGACGGCGTGGTGGTTAACTCAGGTCGAAAGCATTCTCACCCGTGTTGACGCGGAGCTGGCGTCTGACCGTCCCAAGTTCCAAGACCAGCTGCAGGCGCACACAGTCACGGTGGTGGTTTGGCCACCTTTGCGTCGTCAGCAGGAAACTTCGACATAATATTGAGCTGTGGCTTCCTGAGTGGTGTAGCTTTTCAAAGGCGGCTCCTCGTGGCTTGCCGTGCTTCGGTCCGTGCCGTCGTCCTCGCGAGACCTTTTGATTTTAAGGCAGCTTGCCGAGGCCCCTGCGTCAAGCATGGTTGCGTCAACGGCAGACTCCTCGACAACGCTAGCTTCTACACTGCTTGTCGCAGCCCTCTCAGTCAGTGGAACATCAGGCTGTTTAGCGTGCCCCGTAGCGTCCTCAACCCAATGCCTCGTCGGCCTTGCCTGGCTTCCCTTCGGCTTCTGATGGCGGCGTGACGCTTGCCTTTGGGTCTGCCCGTCCGAAGCGCCCGATGCGGCCACCTCGCATTTGCCGCGTCCATGAGGTACTTCGAGTTACCATCGTTTTCCATGGGTCCTGTGACGTTGGCGTAGGTACGGACGCACTGACTCTCGTCGTGGCCGAAGCGGCGACCGAGCGCACAACGCGCCACTCGGCACTCCCTTCGGATTTGGCCCTTGTCCTTACACCGTAACCATGGCGGCGCCCTGCCGGGCACCACGACCAGCGCCAGGTCACCGGGGATACGGAGCTGGTGGGGGAGGTCGTCCACCTTGACTCCGGGCCTCAGCTGTAGGGACACCGAGCGAGTGATCGATGCCATGTGTGTGCATCCTGGGGCGCGCCACCTTTCTGTAGGGTGCGAGGGCTGCACGTACTCTCGGGTTCAACTGACATGCGAACAGCAGAGTTCGTGGCCTTCGATACATTCTGTGCCTCCTGGAGGCCTGTTGAAACTGATAAAACGGCAAATCGGAGCGTAGGGCCCTGCAAGGTTGTGTGTCCTACTCCGTTATGTTTGACCCTCGCCCAGTACATCCTAGCATCGACGCTGCGCCGGTGGTTCGCTGAAAGTTCCGTTACATCCACTTTCGTTGGCTCTGCATGAGCCATGCGAGGAAGCTCGCCGCTCGCAGCAGGAGCATACTGCGTGCGCGTGCACCTCGCGCGCGCGTCCGTGGAGCATTATTGCAGCGACATGCTCCCTCCTAACTTGCACAGTTTTTTCTTTTTTTAACGGATGTAAAGTTTTTGTAAACTGTATAGCGGAACCTATGCGAAATTCTAGACAGGCGCCAGGACGGCTGCTGACGCCGAAGTGAAGTCCATTACTTGGCAGACTGTTATGTATCAGCTCCCAGAGCTCGCTCGGTGTCCCTTCTAGTTCTTCCGTCTCGTGTGTGGCACTGGGATTGCCAAAATGCAGGTCCGCCAGCTCCCGCATTCACCATACATTTAACGAAATGCAGTAACTTTACCATTGACATTGTTCAGGCAGCCAGAATCTTGTTCAGCGCGCCCATTAAACGGTCACCCCATACGTCAGAATTGTGAAATAGAGGTTAAAGCAGTTAGTTCGTGCACGAAAGACCTGTGGAACTTGATTGACGTAAGTTATCAGAAGGACGCAGACGTCCTCGTGAAGGACCTAGATCTCATGGCTCTTTGAAAATAGTGAAACAGCGTGGACGGAAAATGACGTGTTTATTGTGAGGCAGAATTTGTGCAAACAGTAATCATTACTGTTTGCACAAATTCTGTCTCACAATAAACATGAGATGCGCTGGCTGAGGCGTCAGCCTTTGCCGGTTGCAGCATTCGTGTTTTCTTGTCGTTTAATGATTGAACGACAAGAAAACACGAATGCTGCAACCGGCAAAGGCTGACGCCTCAGCCAGCGCCGAAGCAGTAGCTGTCTGGGCCGGCTTGATTTCGTTGTAGTATTTTACTAAGATGGTCTTGGTGAGGAGCCAATTGATACTTTGTGAAGTGTCCTTCAGCCTATACAACAGCAGCCTTCGGACGAGGTAGATATTCCATCAGGCGGGATACCGGATTTGAAGCTCGCAGCCGCTCCTACTCAGCCTCGTCCTTTGACCACAAGTCGTCTGCCGATCCTCTCTGTAGATGCCGGTAGGAGAGGGGCTTCTTCATCGCCCCCCAGACGATTTATGTGGCGTATATATCAATTCCCTGGGGTGTCCAGCTGAGCATCATGATACCTCTATCTTGCAGCAGTTTGACCACGCACTTTGGCACTTTGTGGGTTTGGCTGCAGTCTTGTTGCCGATAGAAAATACCGTCGCTGAAGGTGCCGTCCAAAGCATGCGACAGGAGCACCAACTCTACAAACTCTCTATAAACCGCGTAGTTGAAGCAGCCCTAAATGCGAACCAGATGACCCAGTCCGTCTTTTGAGAGCTCGCCCCATACGCTTACAGCGCAAAGGCCGCTACTGCCAATGCGTTGAAAATTGCATGGCTTGAACCTGAAAAAAATCACCTAACTCTTGTGTCAGCTCTCATCGGAGTTGAATGTCTCATCTCACGAGAGTATCATGAAGTAGCTCGACGAGAGTAAGTATACTAGTGAAAACACTGATACTGTCCTCATCGGGGGGTGCTATTCAAGACCAAAAATATATGTGCTGGCTTCTCAGCTAGTGAGCTAATACAGAGTGTAAGTAGCAGTAACAAGAAAATTGTGAAGCCCTCACATAACATTCCAGAGCTCTTACTTGGTGTTGTCGGCCTGCCATATTACCTGACGTTAATCTCGGCGAGTAGTAAACATAGATTCATCGGTGAACAGCAGGTTCTGCCAGTCTGCTGAAGTAAAAGCTTAATGTTCTTGAGCAAACAAAAGCCATTTTTCCTTGTTGACTGCCGAAAGGATTGGCTTTCTTTCTCGGGGACTGCCACGCAGACCAGCTTCGTGGAGCCGCATTCGTAAAGTCATCACGGCCACATTGAGGTTGAGTTCATATTTTATTTCTTGGGCTGTCAGTGTCGGATCATCGTCTACAGCGGCCACAATCAATCTGGCCTTGTTCTCCGCCGTCACCCTAGGTCGTGATCGACGTTGGAGGTTGTCAATTCGCTGCTCGTCCCAAACCGGCTGTTATTTTGTTAATTGTGCATAATGGGCGACCACATAGCCTCACTATTTCTCTTTGATTACCGTCTTGTTCGCACAGGGTAACAATTCTAGACCGATTCGGAATAGTAACGCTTGGCATCGTTTGTCAAAAGGAGCAGAAGGAATTCCTCGCTTTTTATAAACATCTACCGATAACTCTACGCGATAAAATATCTGCACTGGTTCATAGAGAAAGCAAGGTGTCAGCATTCATCGATTGGAGCATTCAAGTTTTTTCCCCAACTTTTTTGCGCACGTGAGTAAATAAACAAATGTCATTTACAGTCCACGCTGTTTTACAGTTTTGTTGGAGTCTGCGCTTTCGGTCCTTCACCAGGATATCTGTTGCATGGTTCTGATAACTGACGTCAATCAAGCTCCGCGGGTCTTCCGTGCACAAACGAGCTGACTTAGTGCACTTGACGAGATCATGGCTGTGCTCTGAGGAATGTTGATTTCAGGCCAATTATAAACTTACTACATTTTGTTAAAACGTTCGGAGGACGCGGGAGCTAAGGGACCTGCATTTTTCAAATTCCAGCACCACACACGAGCCACAAAAGCGATAGGGGATACAAGGCGAATGCTGGGAGCTGATATATCTAAGTTTGCCGAGCAACTGACTTCACTTAAGCGTCACCGACCGTCCAGGGCCCCCTCTTGTTTTTCTGTCTCGTATTTCGCACAGTTAATGCTATACTTTTCGAAAGAATGTGACAACTCGTATTAAGAAAAAGAGAACTGCGCAAGTTAGGACGGAGCATGACGATGCGGTAATGCTCCACGAACGCGCTCGATGCGCGCGCGCAAGCAGTTTGCTCCTGCTGCGAATGGCGAGCTTCCTTGCATGGCTCATGCCGAGCCATCGAAAATGGCTGTGACGGTCCTTCCAGCGCACCACCGGCGCAGTGTGGAAGCTTGGGTTTCGCTGTGCGAGGGTCAAGCACATCGGAGTAGGACGCACACCCTCGCAGCATCTTACTCTTTAACCCGCAGTTTTATCAGTTTCAGGAGGCATCGAGGAGGTGCAGCATGTACCGATGGCCACGCGCTCCGCTGTTCGCATTTCATTTGAGGCCGATAGTGCCTCGTCGTGTTGTACGTGATGCAGCAGCCAGTGGAGCTTCAGACGGACGTCTTCGTTCCTAGGAGCCACCATGAAGCAGCGACGGTCCCTAACTTGGAAGTCGCCAACTGCAAGCAGCCTCCTTTTCCCCTCGTCGCTCTTGAAGGTCACTGCCCACACGGGGTTATACTGATGCGCCCCCAAGGCAAGCACCTCGGGGAGAAGTGCCGCCAGTGCGAGGGCGTCTCGAAAGGTTACAAACGGAACAGCTTCGCTTTCACGTCGGCAAGTAGAAACAACAGTGTTCTGAATGGACGTTCCAAATGGCAGCGTCGGCAAAAGAAGTTCGTAATCCTGCGATGCAGCGTCAAGACTCCTGATTATGTGGCCAAGCTGGGCAACTGGAAACGCTCCAACGGAGCACTTCCGTACGCTTCGGCGGCCGGAAGTTGGATCACTAGGCCACCGTGTTCGCCGCACGTGGTGCTCACTGGTAGGAAGAGCGCGATAAGCGAATGAGAAGGCGATACGAACGGGGCCCGATAGCGCCATCGCGTCTCACTCTTAAAGGCAACGCTTAAGCGTCCTCCTTTTAGTAAAGTAGTAAAGTATCTTTTGAGTACTACTATCCCTGGGTGCAGTGGCGGTCCTCATGCCAAGTAGTAAGCTTTCACGTGGTGATGATGATGATAATTTCTGGCGGACCACAAGCCCACGTGCACACTGGGAATGTTCATTCCAAGACCAAAAGATCGTCTACCAGAAAAAAAAAGAAGAGCACAGGGCGTGGTTTACACCATTTGATACGCAGAGTGCCCCAAAACCTAATCGGCGAGACGAAGAACTTTCCCGAGCGAATCTGTCAACACGTGGTGGACACAGAGCCCAATTTCCGAAGAAGACTTTTCTTGGATTCGTGGCAAATCCAGCATACGCCAGAAAACCTAAACCGGTTCCTAGGCGCATTAGCCTTTGTCTTCGCACATGGCCTCCGTGCCTGAGAAGAAAGCTAAAGAGATGACCGTCTCCATAACTAAAAAGTTTATTTAAAATTTTTTAATTTCCAACTTTTTTAAATTTAATTTTTATTTTTATTTTTTGAAGACGAAGAGGTTAGAGCTGCTGCTCTTCCGCGTGCTATCAGTCACCCTTTAAGAAGGAAGCGAGTTGGTTTCCAAACGTCGGGTTTCCTTTAAAGTTTTGGTTGCAGCTACCTTTTTGGACTTTATTTAAGTGTTCTTTAAATTTCCGACATTTTATTAGTAATTTTTGACTAATCATGGAACAAATATAACCAAGAAAATAATATGTCACAGTAGGGCATAAAAACTGCGACACAACGATCCTTGATTTCGTTGAAGCTAATTGGTCTACAACACCATCCCAGTCGGTTTTCTGTTTCTTTACCTTGTACACTCAACTGACTGCAATCACAAAGTGTGCCGGTGCCTTTAGACCAATCCTAATTAAGGGGTTCCTCTTCAACTACTCGGCGCCCTCCCCCCCTCCTCCCCCCTCCTCCCCTTTCCCTCCCTCTCCTCGTGTGTCGCCCGGGCCACGTGCCACACCCTTGGTACGAAACTGCATGGGTGTCTGATCAAATTTTATTGAGACTTTAAACTTAATCATTTTATGCTCCTCCATTCTACACTGTACTTAAACTCGACATTATTGTTTCGCTCCTTCAATGACGCGAGAGGTAAAATATCGACATGCGCGTCGCTGGGAAGGTTTTGGCTGCATAAGATGCGTTCACCGAAAGCCCGTGTAAGTTGTAGAGTGTAAATGAAGGCGACATGCGGGTTGAGCCTGCTTACAAGAATGAATAAAGCAAACAGATATAGCTTGGACGCTGATAAAAAGTCCGCGGATGCTGTTCAGCGCGAATTTACCCACGCGTATTTATTTTTTGTCAAAACATATTAGAAGCATAATTCTGCGCCACATATCTAACTGCCGATGTGGGTTGCGGTTGATAACCATTTGCATGGCCCTCGCTCCGCTTGACTCGAAAAATGTCTGTTCTCTTTCTTGCAGGCTCACATCCGCGTATGGAAAGTGGAGACACTCGAAACGCTCGCCGTCCTGGGCACGGACATTATCGGGGAAGGACTCTCGTGCTTAGCCTTTTCACACAAGGTACATGTCTTCGTTTAATGCCCGGGATGCTCGGTCTGATTTTTTCCAATGAGTTTACTAAATTCTACGGTAACAAAACGTCTGTGAACGTATCACTATACCGATTTTTTTATTAAAGCAAAAAAACATATTTTGTATAGAACACCTTAATCCTAGAAGTTTGTCCGAGAGCCCCTTCGTGCTGTTCTCCGATATATTTAGTGTACAAATCAACATCGCGTGACGACATGGTATCACGTAAAACTATGACTAGACACTATGACGTCATGTTGCATCACGTGGCCACATCACGTGACACAATGACTTGACAGTTGGCGCCTTGTTACGTGAACGCGTCGCGTTAAGTTAGGTGACGTGAACGATTCACTTGACTTCAGGTCATAGGACGTCAGTCACGACGTGACGTCATTTGGCCATGTGACGTGACATCTCGTTGTTAAGTCGTACTACGTGACACCCTGTTATTAAAGGGGCAGTAAAAATGTACAGACCTCACTTTATTGGTTTTTAAATATTATTTAAATCTCGAGGATGTTGCTTCCTGGGCTTTTCGGCCAATTATTTCGTCTGTATTTTACGAACCGCATATAAAATTAAGTTGTTTTGACGATTCTGAAACGACCATAGGACACTCTGTGGGTACCGGAGGCCACAAAACGTTATCATAAAGAGCATTTCAAGCGGAAAAGATATTCAACTTTATTTAAATTTCAGACTACAAAGTGAAAATAATACAAACAAATAATCGTTCATTGGCGCTCCTATTATTTGCATGATAATGCATCACGCGATTGCAATTCCGTTCCGGTTTCAAATACATCCGGCTCTTTTGCTGCTTATTAACCACAGCAATCGTGGCTGCGGTGACTCTGTCGGCTGCTCCGTTGCTTTTCGCTTCTCGGCTCCTCATCCTCTGTTCACGGAATGTCTCGGTTGTGGTTCGTGTTTATCGTTGTTCGCATGGGAGTGTTGTGCCCGCGTGTCTCAGTGCCCGCCATGCCAACCGTGTGCGTTGTGAGGCACCGCTGCAAGACGTACTTACAGTAGCGCAGACGTCATACAGTTTCATAACCTGCCCTGCGAGTAACATCGTAGGGTCCTGTGGCATCGAGCCATTGGCTGCGATGGTCCGGATGACAACGGCGCACGCGTGGGTCACGTCTGTTCCGACGACTTTTTTCCGGGGGACTACGAGATGAATATTCAAATGCGGCGAATTCCCGGCCGGGATTTTCGGAAGAGGCTACTGTTTGATGTTACAGACAGGACTTAGTTCAACTTCAACGTGTCTGTGTTGAAAGTTTGCTAATGACACAAAGCACACTCTAAAAAGAGGGTGTAGCCATTACACTTGTTTTCACATAAAAGACACCCCTAAACTTCAGTTCGACGTACAGTGAAATACACAAATTTTAGGAGAGGCTTGATGACGGTACGATATAACAGATTAAACAGCTAAAGTAGGCACCAAAACCTAAAAAAAAAAAATACATCATTAAGGTTTTGGAGTAAGCCAAAAAAACGATTAGTTTTTGACGGTCAGTCAGGGTAGAACTCGGCTATCGACGCGCTCGTGAAAGTTGGTACTTTCGTTTTAAGGTCAGTGCGCTGTACATCAAACTGAAATTTTTGGGTGAATTGTATGTGACAATGGTATGTAAGAAGATATTTTTTTTTTGTGTGTGCATCTCTCGTACTTTTTATCTTAATGCCATGTTTATTTCTTCTTCTTCGTCGTCTACTATCATAGCTCAGCAGCACGGCGGAGCGTCCAATGATGATGAGATGGTATTTTACAAGTGAATTAACAAATGTGGTGCTGATGGTTTAAATGTAGCTTGCGGACGAGCGTGAGGGGTTGATGCTGTGGTTGAAGAGGTTGAAAAGGCTTAAACCTAGCAGTGGTCCTCGCGTCGGTTGTCTCCACGGGGCCATCATGGGCTGCTGACTTCTAGCAGGCCGGTCTTGAACGCCTGGCTAGGGCTCCCTGCTTGCCAGGCTTGCAGACGAGCCGGCCGAAGTTCTAGCGCCATGGGGAGTCCAGTACCTTCGTGGTGGGGCTCCAGGAGTTGGTGCCGGTGTTGGCCGGGCGGCGGTTTTTGCGAAAGCGGGAACTGAATTCTCGGAGCTTGCGGTCGAGCTTCTAACCGAGCAGCCTGAGCCCCCTGTCGATAGAAGACATGGTGTGTTCCACTGGTCCGCTGGCTCTTTGAGGACGGGAAAAAACACGTCTTACTCCCAGTTGGCTCCTTGTTCTTTCGTCGTTGGGCTTGTGCAGCAAAATCAAGAGCCCACAAAAACCACCGTCGATGTCGTCGCTGCTACTCTCGTTGTCGGACAACGAACGGTCTCTCGTTTAACTTGACGGGATGTCGGCGTGCGGCTCGAAACCCGGAAGCTGACTACGCTGTAAGAGGCGACGCTGGGGGTCAGAGAGGTCGGCCATCTTGCTGTTATCTGAGCAAAATATTAGACGCCGGATGGCATCTGGGTCGTGGTCGAAAATTTACAAGGTCTTCCTCAAGGATAAGGATTTTGTACATTGGCGTTCTAAAACCAACCCGCGTCTAGGGTTTTTTAGTTTGTGTTGTTGCGTGACATGACCCACCGCGGTAACTCGGATCCATTAGGGTAAGATTTGGAACACAGCCCTATTGACTTGCGTGCGTAACGTCATTATGCCGCCGCTGTTTGGGCGATATCTGACGCTCTGGCTGCGCCCATTGAGTTCGGTCTACGTCGCCATCTTGCGCAGAAAGCAAAAATTCGCTACTGGTTACTTATTGTGACATGTTTGTAGAACTGAGAGGGAAGCTCCCCGAAAAACTTAAATTATCTTTTTTTACGCTAGTAAGTGAATCCGGACGATCGAAAGAATAAACGTGTGGTATGTAATGTAGGAGAGAAGTTCAAAATAGACATATAGCTCAGGATATCCGAAATATTATACTTTTAGTAAAAAAGAAATATGTTTTTGTTCATTTCCCCGAAACAACTATTGTTTCGTCTTGTAAGCAAATTTTACCGGTCACTGCTGAAATATTGCATTCCATATATTATATACATTGAAGAACTTTGGAGGCTGCAAGTATCTACCAATTACGTGTTATTTTAGTGCTCTAGTATATTACTTTGAACAGTCAAGTAACGCCAATCCAATTTATCCATAATTAGGGACAGTAGTTTTTAATTTAAAGTTTATTCTATTACTCCAGATCTAGCCTCTAAAGCTTGTACACTGAGAACACGAAGTATTGGCTAGCTATTGCGGCCACACGAACTAAAAAACTCCCTGTTCAGAAACCTCGTACAGCGACTCACTTTCTGAATATTTAAGTCGAGTAAAATTGTGTGCGAACTTACTATTGCATCCTATCTTTCAGGGTCTCTTGCTAGTGGCCGTGGACGCAAGCCTGGACCACGAGCTTTCCCTTTGGGACTGGCAAAATAATGCTGTCCTCGGCAGAGCTGTTGTGAGTACATGCCTTGTGAAACACAGTTGTTCAACGACAAACATGTGTACGCCTTCAAGTCATGAGCGCTTCTTTCAGCTCAGGCGCTGCGTAGACTTCAAGCGAAAAGTAGCACCGGCCGACCCGCACGCCCATTGGTAACTTTCGCATTCGGCCGTGTCTTCCCATATATTGGTATTTTGTCCTCCGATACCAAGGAAAGCTGTTGTGTCAATAATATTGACACAGAAGTTAATAAGACTAATTACTCAATTCAAAAAGTCAAATTTGGGGGTTTTACATGCCATACCAACGACGGGCATCTGGCACGCCCCAGCGGAGGACTGAGGATTAATTTGGACCACCTGGGGATCTTTCGACGTGCAACCGAAAGCTCGGTTACACGGCGCCTTCTCCGCAATAAGCCTCCGTCAGATTGCGGGCAGCTCGGCCGGGATTCGAACCCGCCACATGGGGATCCGTAGGCCGGCGCTCTCGCCTCGGAGCCACCGAGGCCTCGGAGCCACCGAGGCCTCGGAGCCACCGAGGCCTCGGAGCCACCGAGGCCTCGGAGCCACCGAGGCCTCGGAGCCACCGAGGCCTCGGAGCCACCGAGGCCTCGGAGCCACCGAGGCCTCGGAGCCACCGAGGCCTCGGAGCCACCGAGGCCTCGGAGCCACCGAGGCCTCGGAGCCACCGAGGCCTCGGAGCCACCGAGGCCTCGGAGCCACCGAGGCCTCGGAGCCACCGAGGCCTCGGAGCCACCGAGGCCTCGGAGCCACCGAGGCCTCGGAGCCACCGAGGCCTCGGAGCCACCGAGGCCTCGGAGCCACCGAGGCCTCGGAGCCACCGAGGCCTCGGAGCCACCGAGGCCTCGGAGCCACCGAGGCCTCGGAGCCACCGAGGCCTCGGAGCCACCGAGGCCTCGGAGCCACCGAGGCCTCGGAGCCACCGAGGCCTCGGAGCCACCGAGGCCTCGGAGCCACCGAGGCCTCGGAGCCACCGAGGCCTCGGAGCCACCGAGGCCTCGGAGCCACCGAGGCCTCGGAGCCACCGAGGCCTCGGAGCCACCGAGGCCTCGGAGCCACCGAGGCCTCGGAGCCACCGAGGCCTCGGAGCCACCGAGGCCTCGGAGCCACCGAGGCCTCGGAGCCACCGAGGCCTCGGAGCCACCGAGGCCTCGGAGCCACCGAGGCCTCGGAGCCACCGAGGCCTCGGAGCCACCGAGGCCTCGGAGCCACCGAGGCCTCGGAGCCACCGAGGCCTCGGAGCCACCGAGGCCTCGGAGCCACCGAGGCCTCGGAGCCACCGAGGCCTCGGAGCCACCGAGGCCTCGGAGCCACCGAGGCCTCGGAGCCACCGAGGCCTCGGAGCCACCGAGGCCTCGGAGCCACCGAGGCCTCGGAGCCACCGAGGCCTCGGAGCCACCGAGGCCTCGGAGCCACCGAGGCCTCGGAGCCACCGAGGCCTCGGAGCCACCGAGGCCTCGGAGCCACCGAGGCCTCGGAGCCACCGAGGCCTCGGAGCCACCGAGGCCTCGGAGCCACCGAGGCCTCGGAGCCACCGAGGCCTCGGAGCCACCGAGGCCTCGGAGCCACCGAGGCCTCGGAGCCACCGAGGCCTCGGAGCCACCGAGGCCTCGGAGCCACCGAGGCCTCGGAGCCACCGAGGCCTCGGAGCCACCGAGGCCTCGGAGCCACCGAGGCCTCGGAGCCACCGAGGCCTCGGAGCCACCGAGGCCTCGGAGCCACCGAGGCCTCGGAGCCACCGAGGCCTCGGAGCCACCGAGGCCTCGGAGCCACCGAGGCCTCGGAGCCACCGAGGCCTCGGAGCCACCGAGGCCTCGGAGCCACCGAGGCCTCGGAGCCACCGAGGCCTCGGAGCCACCGAGGCCTCGGAGCCACCGAGGCCTCGGAGCCACCGAGGCCTCGGAGCCACCGAGGCCTCGGAGCCACCGAGGCCTCGGAGCCACCGAGGCCTCGGAGCCACCGAGGCCTCGGAGCCACCGAGGCCTCGGAGCCACCGAGGCCTCGGAGCCACCGAGGCCTCGGAGCCACCGAGGCCTCGGAGCCACCGAGGCCTCGGAGCCACCGAGGCCTCGGAGCCACCGAGGCCTCGGAGCCACCGAGGCCTCGGAGCCACCGAGGCCTCGGAGCCACCGAGGCCTCGGAGCCACCGAGGCCTCGGAGCCACCGAGGCCTCGGAGCCACCGAGGCCTCGGAGCCACCGAGGCCTCGGAGCCACCGAGGCCTCGGAGCCACCGAGGCCTCGGAGCCACCGAGGCCTCGGAGCCACCGAGGCCTCGGAGCCACCGAGGCCTCGGAGCCACCGAGGCCTCGGAGCCACCGAGGCCTCGGAGCCACCGAGGCCTCGGAGCCACCGAGGCCTCGGAGCCACCGAGGCCTCGGAGCCACCGAGGCCTCGGAGCCACCGAGGCCTCGGAGCCACCGAGGCCTCGGAGCCACCGAGGCCTCGGAGCCACCGAGGCCTCGGAGCCACCGAGGCCTCGGAGCCACCGAGGCCTCGGAGCCACCGAGGCCTCGGAGCCACCGAGGCCTCGGAGCCACCGAGGCCTCGGAGCCACCGAGGCCTCGGAGCCACCGAGGCCTCGGAGCCACCGAGGCCTCGGAGCCACCGAGGCCTCGGAGCCACCGAGGCCTCGGAGCCACCGAGGCCTCGGAGCCACCGAGGCCTCGGAGCCACCGAGGCCTCGGAGCCACCGAGGCCTCGGAGCCACCGAGGCCTCGGAGCCACCGAGGCCTCGGAGCCACCGAGGCCTCGGAGCCACCGAGGCCTCGGAGCCACCGAGGCGGCCTACAATTACTCAAGTGTCGCTAAGCAAGGTTTCAATCATGTGCGAATTCACAGAACTTGCTTGTTGCCAGTGACCAAGATTATTTAGTGATCAAGGAGTTCCAAATTTCAGTTGTACGCGAATTCGATAAAACAAATTATCCTGGGCATGCGACACGTTGTGCTAAGTTCTCAAGAGGCACTTTGCACGATAAGCTTATCATTGCACGTTAATATATACGCTCATATAAAACTGAAGTCACTGTCTTTTTTTTTTGTTCTGATAAAATTAAAAGAGACACGTGCGCCTTGATTTTTTTTTTTTTTTTTTTGCTGCTTATTTTGTAAGGTGTCATCCGCATTATTGAAGTAAAAACGGTCACATATCATGTTCTTCGCTCGAATGGTAATGTTTTTTTTTGTTTTTTGTTTCTATCAAACTGAGTTTATCACTCCAAACAAAAAAAACGCAGTACAAAGTCTTTCGCGCCAGGGGACACTCAAAGGCCCGAACAAAGTGGCTTCCAGAGTTGCACCCCTATCCCACAAAGTAATGCCTCGTTCAGAATGTTGCGTTGATTGCTTTCACCATCGAGAGTTTTAGTAGATAGTTTTGGCTCTCCCGCTGCGCTATACGCTAGAGCGACGAAGCTACTGCGGATGCGCGCTGCTAGCGGAATCATTGCCGAGCTGCGGAGGCTAGCGGAGGCGCGCCATCGGACCAAAATAGCGAGGTGCGTTGCGCGGCGTGCTAGCGTGGGTCTCGGGAGAAAGAGTCTTGCAAGATAAGGGAGAGCCAACGAGGAACGCAATTCAAGATGACCGCCACGCCGCGCCTGTCCTGTCTGTGCGCTTCGCGATCGGAGTTCTGAGGGGTGGATTATATCTTGCTGCTGCGAGAAGTAGCCGCGACCAAACTGTTCCACGACTGCAACTGGTAGCGATTTATGGCGGACATGCTAAACACGACCACGAAAAAAAAAGACATATATGTATTCGCAGTTCGTGATGCTGTGAGCGAAGGGTGCGGCCTCATGCTCGGCCACTTTGTCGCGAGGACAAAACCGACCAAAGAAGCGAGCGGGCAGGCGGATTTGAGGAATTTATGTGGCATTTCTTCTTCGGTGAAAAACGACGCAACAGACGAGCTGCGGTTATCATTTAGTTTTGAAGATTCTTCTCGGTGGCTTTTCCGCTTGACCCATATCGAATTGGCTTGGACAGCTAGGCTGTCAGCTGTATTCCATTGCAAAGAGAATAGCAATTTACTTACAAAACACGCAACGATTAACACGTTATTCAACAAAGAACAAAATATTCTATTAAGATAACGACGTTAATAAAAAAATTTGCGAAGAATTGCTTTACAAATCTGTTTTACGCGAGCCTTAGTGTCCGAAAAAGCCGCTAGTGGCGTTGCGTTAGCTCTCGTAACGCTGCAATACGTAGTGGGTTGTGAACATCATACTAAAACCTAAAAATGTTGCTCCACTACGCTACATATAGCGGAGGTCGCAGCGGCTAGCGGATAGCGCAGCGTAAATGGCTGTACGATCTACTAAAACACTCTAATGACTAAAACGATAGCAACAACGTGCTTCGGGAGATAACACTTCGCCGTAAAGAATGCATGCTTCGTCGTCTTATCATGAGTTTTTGTTGTCCCGGTGACCCTCTGGTAACTGCCGTTTTAATTGCTTCGGTCATATGCCACGTAAACGTTGAACAACCTTTGCTTAGGTCGATAATTTTTCCGCTAAATTATAAGCAAACAAAAAAATCCCAGACCGTTGCCTTTCGGTGTTAGCATGTTTTGCCTGCGTGCTCAAATATATTAAGCCAGAGCTACGTTATCTATGATGCGTACCGCTGAAGTGTCTATAAGGCAAAAACACAAAGCTTTTTATAATGCGTTATGTATATTTTCCCATTTAATTAATTTCAAATTTATAATGCCCCAACGAGGGCATTACATAACGGCGCAGTGTAGCGTAGACCAAGAAACAAACAAAAATATGTAATACAAAGATATAAAGGAACTGCTGTAGAAACTTTTCATAATATTAAAACAACCGAACGAACACCTGCAAAAGTTACTTTATGTCTATTAAAAGCACTGTCGTATCGTTGACAATAACAAAAATGGCGGTCACTGGTTCTATTCGGTAATGGTAAGCAGAAAGATTGGATGAATTAAAATAATTTGTTTTAAAGAAAATTCGTATTAC